TAATCTGAGATACAGACAATTCAAATACAGTAAACAGCCAAATCCACAGAGACTGGTTGTATGAGGTTCTCACACCTAGCTCGGTGATGTGTTTCATTCCTCCAAGAATCTTCCTTTGAAGAGAAGAGAGTGGTCATTCAAAGCCACAAATAAATTTAGCACATTCACAATTACCTACTGATGGGTGTTCATGGTGGCAGTGTTGCTATGTGCTAGTAGAGTGCATTTTTCTTAAAATATTACCAGCAATGTAAAATGTAGTTTTTTTCTTTTACCCTTTCATGGTTTTTCTAATTGTTGTTAAAAAAAAAACAACAAAAAACCCCAAAACATCTAATAGGAGATCTGCTCTCTCATCAAGCTCTTCAAATGCTACAATACGGCGTCGTTAACTCTGAGCACGATTGTTGTACAGCCGGGCTCTGGAACTTTGTCTGCAGCTCTGTTCACTGAACAGCAACTCCCCTTTCCCTCACGATGGATCCCTTTCATTTTTATCCACAAAGCTCAGGAATGATGGGAGCCAAGAGGGAGGCATATAATCCCCAAATTGCCTCAATTTGTATCCAGCCTGCTTGGCATCGCTCCTGACTCCAGTTGCGCTCTTACCCTGGGTGATTTAAAGATAAAGATTAATGTTTATTTAGCAGTTATGCACCTGTGCTAAGCTCTTTGAATCATTATCTCATTTAATCCTCTCAACACCATCGTGGGTTAGATACAATTATTATCTCCTCTTTTTTTTTTTTTTAATAGATGAGGTAAGAGACTTGGAAAAAAATGAGTAATATCCTCATGTTTACACACAAAGTAGTAGACTGAGGATTGGAACTTAAGCCACCTGCCCCCAGAGCCTGTAGCATTAATAACTCTCCTAAACCATATTTGAAATACCCTTTTCCCCTTCCAGTACACACATACACCCCCACTGCAGATCTTACGTCAGGAAAAGCTGGATGAAGAATCGAAGCAAAAGCAAAATAGGACAAAAGTCTCCAATGGAAACTCTTCCCCGTTCGTATTGTCCAAATCGCACAAATGCAGAATTGCACAGACATCTGAAGGCATCCCCGAAGGTTTTATACTTACATACCGGTAACTAAAAATTAAGGGGTGGGGGTTGTACATTTCTTTGTTTCAGTAGAAACAAACTATCATAACTTCATGAGTCACCTGCCTAGTTCATAAATTCAGTCCCCAGACATATTTAATTTGGGTACAATTTTTAAAAAAATCTAATTTTAGATGTTTTAAGGAAAGGCGTGCGCCTTTCATGTTGGCAGATTCCTCACTACTCCTTGTCTTGCTTTTTTTCCTTCATTTACTTATTTTACTTGCTTTGCCCTCTTGAGCATTTGTGTTTGAAATCCCTGCTTAATAGTAAAAATTGGGATGGTTTTAGTTATATATGTCATATATTAAAATACAATACCCATATTTTATCTTGAGACAACTTATGGTGAGGCATTTGCTCTCATATTTATCTTAATATTATGGTCCTTCCTTCCTTCCTTCCTTCCTTTCCTTTTTCACTAACATTTTATTTCCTCTTTGGATTCCTACTTATTTAATTCTTCATGGCCTCTAGGCCAGAGGTGGCTCTGAATGAGAGGAGGAAAGGGCCTTTCTTGAAGCTGCTTTTTTTTCTTTTTTTTTTTTTTTTTTGGTAGATTTCTTAGAGATGCTTAAGAAAAGGATGCAGCCTTGCTTCTCTGACTCCTTGTCCCTTGGCAAAGAGAGCGAAGTGCTGTGGCTAGAAGTTGCAGGAAGTGTTAGTGTTGGGGCAGGTAGTGGCATTTGGGCTGCTCAGAGGACATAGTAGGCAAGTTGCTTTCCTCCTCTGGGCCTTGGTTTCCTTATCTATAAAACACAACTGATGATACTTCACCTAATTTGTGTGAGGGTTCGATAAAGTATCTGGTGAGGTGCCCAGTGCAGAATCGAAATCCAGAACATACAGGTTTCTGTTTCCCTTCATTTCATTCTTCTCAGAAGCTGGGATTGAATACAGACACTACCAGTGATACCAAAGTATATGAAAGGATTTCTGATGAGAATGTCAGAGAAAGGTTGCAATAAAAATGTGCTCTTCCAACAAAAGCTCTCTAAAACCACCATGCAGCGTCAATATGCCTTACGTATGAATTCGTTAATGTATGCGTGTGTGCTCCTGTATGCAGCATTGGTGTATGTGTGAGCGTGTATTTGTGTGTGGCACACATACATGCAGCATTTGCGTGTGGATAAATGTGTGTGTGTGCAAGTATATGTGTGTGTGCGTGCACCCAGAAGGAAACTGCTGGGGGAAAGAGACTACATTGCACTAGATATTTGATGGTAACCCTTATTCAGTATATAGTAACTCACAGTTTATAAAATAAAGTCCATTTATGATGTTGGTCTTATCTTCTAATTAAAATCATAGGCATGAAGCTTCTTTATACCTGCATAAAGTAAGCAGTTTAATTTCTCTGTACTAGGGGAAAAATGATTTCATTGCCTGTTTCGTAGCCCATCAGCACGTGGTGGGAAGCAAGTCAGGGTGGTGATGAAAGCTTCATTCTTCCTCAGTGTATTTGTCCTCTCAGACTTCACAAGGAGCATGGATGCATCTTCTGAGGTGTTCTCACGGGCGGCAGGGGGGCTTTTATCTGCTGCCCCTACCCCTTCACATTGCCAAGGGAGGTGAAGCTATTTTGTCTATGAAAAATCCACCTCAGAACGTTTCCCCTGGATTATTCACGTATGAATGAAAAAAAAATATTAGACTGCATCCATTCCTTAAAAATCTGCTGATAACTAGTAATAACTTATTTCAATGAAGCCAAAGCAAATATTTGAGAAAAAGAAAGTAAGCTTGTCTTGGAAGCTGTAAGGAGTAAAAGAGGAAAAGGACTATGAATCTTTGCAGTTAAAGGGATTGACTCTGTTTTAAAGCTTACTTTATAACAGTAATATATGCTATGGGTAACATTTTTAAAATCCTGCTATTTAATAATTTTATTTTATATGGTTTGGGAATGGTTTTTGGCTTTATTTTGTACTTGGGGCCCTGTGGTTCAGACCATGTGTAGAAGTAGCCCTATCGACTGGTGGCAGTAGCGCCAAAGACAGGAAAAACTGTTAAGAGGGAATAAGCTCATTTGCTCAGTCACTCAGCAAACATGAGGAACTCAAAGAAGCTGGGTCTTGCTGGATAATAAAGGTCAAAAGAGCTGTGGTGCTGATGAAGCCAGAGACAAAAGCAGGGGCCAGAGTTTGCTAGGCTGTTTTAAGGATTTTAGAATATAGGAAGATCAATGATAAGCCATCGGATGGTTTTATGTAGGGGGATGTTGGAATCAGATTTGTATTATAGGATAGTTGTTCTGGCCACAGTGTGACAAAGTGGATGGGGGCAAGTGGGGACAGCACTGAGATTGGCTAGGGGTATTTTACAGTAATCCAGTGTAGAGATTGTCACGTTTTGGACTATGGCAGTTACAATGGCAGGAAGAGAATGGATCTGATTTTAGAGCTAATTAATCGGTAAAATACATGGGTATTTTCAGAGGCAAGTGGGAAAGCAGAGTCAAGGATGAATCTCGGGCTGTTGGCTTTATAACAAAGCATTGGTGGAAACAAGTGAGCCAGGCAGGACGGGAAAGGGGTAGGACTGGGATCAGGTACATTGTGGGGCGTGGTGAGTTTGAGGTGTTGGTGGACATCCAAGTAGAAGATTCTGCCAGGAAGCTGAGTCTGAGACTGAGAGGAGACCTCAGGTCCGGATTGAATTTTTGAGTTGTCCCCAGAAAGATGGTAATTGAAAAAAATAAAGCTTGGAAGAAGTCACTGAGGAACAGTGCATTGAATAAAAAGAAAAGAGGATCTACCCTGAGGGTTTAGCAATGATCATTATTATAAGGAGATCAGAGAAGGTTGAGGATTCAAAACAGATGAAAAGGAAGACAAGATGCACTTGATGTTATGGAAGCCCCTGGAAGGGAGTGCTGAAAGGAGGATGGAATTGCCATTGTTATCGAACACCGTCAGGAGTTCAACTGTGGGAAAGGTCCAAGCTTCTAAGTGTCTGTTGGATTAAATACTGGAAAGTCAGTCACAGGGTTAGTGAGATCAGTGTCTTCGAGGGACTGTAAGTAGAAGCCAATCTGCGCTGATGGGAGGGGGCTTTTACGTTAAGTACTGAAAGGTCAATGATAATTAGAGCGATCACTTGTAAGACTGTGTGTTACGCCAAGTGTCAAAGCCATTTTCGGATATCATGCTACTCAATTATTGTTGTGGAAACTGAGGCCTCTAGAGTTAAGTAGGTTTCCAAGGTGACCCAAGATGAACAGAGAAGCGTTGAGTTTGAATCTGCTCCCTTGGATGCCAAAGCCTTTCTACTACACCATTCTGTCCCTTTGGCTTAGGGATGATGCACTTTATTGAGCAGCAGTCTTTGCCCCAGGGGCCTTTGGGGATATAGGCTTTGGAAAGTATCTAGAACAAAGGGATCATTGAAACCACTTAAGTCAATTAAATCACTCAAACAATTCATTCAGAAAGAACAAAACAAACAGTGGGATAAGAGGGAGATCCTTTTCACGACTAAAGGGCAGGTAAGAACAATGGTGTGATGAAGAGTGCCCTGGAGAATTGAGGGGGGGGAGGGGCGGAGGGCTTGTGTGATGGTCTCAAGGTCAGGGTACAGAGGGCCAGAAGAATATGCTCTCGCTACTTAAAAGATGAACATCAACAATGAAACTACCTATAAGATGGAGATCACAAAATGAAGCCGCATTTGTATGCAGACCTAACCATGCATAATATTCTAGCTCCATTCAGCAACGAAGGACTAAATCAGGGGAAAAAATGCCAATATTTCATATAGAGACCCACATGCCCCTTTCTGTGCTGTGATATACAAGTACAGATGACTTTATATTTATGCTTTAATTTCTTGTATTTATTCTCTCATGCTAACTCCATCTGTATTTTCTCTCCTCTCCTTTCTTTAGATCATGCTTCTTAGTGATCCTGAAATGGAGAGCAGCATATTAATCAGCTCAGATGAGGGGGCCACGTATCAGAAATACCGGCTCACTTTCTACATCCAGAGCCTGCTCTTCCACCCCAAGCAGGAAGACTGGGTGCTGGCGTACAGTCTGGATCAAAAGGTGAACAAACACTGTCTTTATTCACATCTTGTCACCCAGGTACCACCTGGTGAAAAGCACTTGTTTACTTAGTCCAAATGTTGGAGGGGATTCAGTGACGTTTCATCATTCCAACCGGGTTCATTTTGTCTGCAGCAACGAACTTTCCTTTCGGCTCTATAGTATCAAACTATGCAGGCAGGTCTATTATTGGCAGTGCTTTGCATCATTTCATAGGCTTAAGATGGTTTCCTCTATAATTTTACTCATTTGACCTTTAAAACAACCCCGTGAAGCAAGTAGGAAAAGTGTATTCATAGTAATTTTATAGTGATTTGTAGTAAACGAAGGTGCTGAAGGGCTAAGGTGTTTGTTCAAGCCTGCCCAGCCAGTAGTTGGAAGAGGCACAGCTGGAATGAATGTTGTCAGATTCCAAGTCTAGGGAATGTTCCAGCATACCATGCTGTGTTGATTTGGTAAAATTGTTTGTAGTTTAGCAAAGGAAGGGAAGTCTCGAACATGTACATTTTGTTGTTTTCTAAAAGTATCTTCAAGATATAATGACCCAATAAGTCCTCCTCTTCGAGTTCACAATCCATTTACCCAGCTGTGTACTTGACCTTCTCTCTTGTATGTCTCAGAAGACTCTTGATTCAATGTATTCCAAAAATGGACTTCTGGTCTTCCTCCAACATAGCTGGTTCTCTTCCAGTCTTCCCTAATTTTATCCATTTGGTTGCAAAAGTCAGAGACCCAGGAGGTATCCTTAATACTTCCTCATTCCTAACCTAGCATCTCTAACCTATCATTCTATCGCCATCTCGTAAATCCATGGACTTCTGTTACCACCACCACTCAAATCTAGGTTATATCTGTCATTCGAGTGACGACCAGAGCCTCTTCCAGTGTGTTTATACTATAACCTGAACAATCTATTTCCCAAATGTAGATCTTAGGATTGCCGCATTTTCTCCTTGTTCGCAGAAAAAAAGACCACAGTCCTCTGTAGAATCTACTAGGACCTCCTTAGCTGGTCCCTCCTCCGACTTCACTCACCGTTACCACGTTCCCTTGAATGTCCTTCTTTCGGTTCTTCATCCCAGCTGTCTTCCTGGCTCCATTCCTGGGCCTAAATCTTCTTCCCTGAAGTCAACTTTGTCGCTGTCAGATCTCAGATCTAGTATCACTTCCTCAGGACGTCTTCCCTAAACTCCCTGACAAAGTTAGATGCTCCGTGGTGTTCTTTCCCATAGTGCCATCCACTTCCCCTCCAGAGGGCTTGTCACGGATGAGATTTTATGTTGACTTATGTGATCTTTGGATTATCTGTGTTCCTCACCAGACTACAAGCTCCAGGAGGGCAGGGCCACATCCGGTTTTGCTCATGGATGTAGCACCGGGGCTAGCACAGTGCCTGGTACTTAAAAGGTGCTCAGTAAATATCTGTGAGGTGAACAAATTAGTGGATGGATGCATAACTGCTATGGTAAGCCTGCTGTAGCTGATCAACTTATACTTAAGGGACTTTAGATTATTCTTCTTTGTATTTCCTTAGTATAGAACCTTAGTACAGTGCTTGATGCCAAACTATTAGGTAATCATGTTGTGGAATCAATCAGTGAAATAAATTAGATAAAATAGATAATTATAAGCACTGCCTTGTGTAGCGATATCCACAGATTAACCTTAATTGAAATAGCTTCGCTTCTTCTCTTCTCTCTTAAATCCTGAGACAGTTGCTCCTCAGTATATATTTGAATATGTGATTTTAAATGTGAGTGTGTGTGTGTGAGAGAGAGAGAGAGAAAGAGAGAGAGATGTCAGCACCTTTAAACAATAATTTCAGCATAACCTTTATATCTCTCATTAATGGAGCCTCATGGTGGGTGCCAGGTGCTTAATGCAATCCCCTAAGGACAGCCACATGACATTTGCAAAGCAAAAGCCATTGCAAATACATTTCTTTCATGGCATCAAGTGGACATTGTATGAAAGACTTAGCCAAATGTCAGGTAGTCTGTGAGTTTGGATGCTTCGTATTGCTATGAATTTTGAAGCTATATTGAAAAAAAATAAATTTTTTGGCTATTGTTAAAGGCTGGATGGTAATTTACTTAGACGACACTCAGAAAAGCTAAACTATGTTTTTATTTATACAGAGACATCTCATGCCAAGAGGTTGATAAACCAAATGTGGAATGCCTTGGGTGTATATAGAAGGAGGATCCTTTTCCCTCATCTCCATAGCACTGAGAACATCTGGGGCATTGCTCATGAAGTAGTCTTGTGGATATAATGCATTCAAAATACTTTCAGGCTTGGTGGCTGCTTTTTTACATAGTAAAAATATTTGGAAATGTGGCAGTGGGTGTTGATGGATTTTCCTAATCACACTGCACATTTCTGGATGTATTATTCCTTAGGTACTCTTTCTTGTTGACATCTTTTGCATAAAGCGGCTGAATGTTCTTCAGGCCCATAAAGTTTCTAACTGGTACCCTGCCATTCTTTTAAGTAAATGGTCTGAGGAGGCAGACGATGCCCCTGGCAACTTTTGCAGAGCTGGCATAAAACACCTAGCCTCCATCATCCAGGGTTTAGAAGAGTTTTTCTTTAATTTATTGGTTTAGAGTCAAGGAGAGGGATGCTATGCAGCAGTGGATGGAGAGTTGAGATTGATATACAAATGTCTTATTTCAGACTGAAACCTTTTCTGATGTGCATGCATTGAGGCATCTGGTTTCTTCTAGAGAAAATGAAAAGTGTGAGTAGGAAGGTAACTGCAGCATCGAAGGGAGATGTTTGTGGTGAGGAGTGAATCGATGTTTCCGTTATTATGCCTTTGATGAAATGCACTAGCAATTTATTTAGAATCGGTAAGGCTATCTCGTTATGTTGTGTGTATTACAAAAGACCTAACTGAATAATGTTTTAAAGGGACAATATCCAATTGCTTTACCTTCCAAATTGCTACCTCAAAGCTGCAGGAGACTTGCCAAGAGATCTCACTTGGTAAAGCCACTGCTGGAGAATTAAGGAAATACATTCTGGATAGAACAAAATTGCAGCTAGAAATTGAGACATGTGCATAACTTTGTGTTGGTTGAGACGCTGGATGGCAGGTTGTGAGTCAGCTAGGAAACGTGGCTACCTTGTACTGGTCAAGGCCAGGTTGTGGGAGATCACCCAAGCCTCCCAACTTCCAAAGCTGCAAAGGGGTGGGGAGGTAGGGACAAATGCACCTTGCACTTGACCCTTTGGAGGGCCATGGCTCTCCAATTTTGATGTGTCACAATATAGCAAAGTTATTCTGTTTCCTGTTCAGCTTGACCTGGGCTTTTGACCAAGTCCTTCAGTTCTGGCCATCCTAGGAGCTTCCCGATTCCTGCTCCTCTTCTGTCCTATAGATTCTCCTGGCACTTTGCATTTTAATATAAAAGAACTCAGTACCTACTGAAGATGAGAGATTCTTTCTTGGGTATATGAATCTTGGGAAATGCTTTATAAGAATCTTTGTGAAACAACTGGCAAAAGTAATAGGTTATGGTTGATCAAATTGGACTAAGAAAAGAAAAGCTACTCCTCTCTTCTCTCTGAATCAAAGCCCTAGAACCTAGTCTTTGGAAGGCTGTATATTTACAGTTATTTAAGAGGCCAGATTCTCTTTTGTTTCCATCAGGCTGTGGCCTCACTGATGACTGAAACTACATTGTGATGTTTTGGATTAGCTGGAGGGCTCAATATTATTATTCAAACTGAGATTTTTAAAAAAAGACTTCGAGGTAGGTTTTGAGGATATTACAGTCCTCTAAATGGATAGTTGTTCTCGTTGCTGTGGAAAGCTGGATTTTTAAACATCCCTCATTTTGACAAGAGACTTGGTTTGATTTTTTGTTTGTTTGTTTTTGTTTTTTTTAAAGTGGGTACATGCTCACGTATTCACAGATGCATACATCCTGGCACAGGGGTCTTCCGCAGGAGACAGTTGAAAACAGCTATTTTTCTGCAGGAGAGGTAGAGTTACAAAAGCCTCTATTATCATTTATCTTCCTGGCAAAATGAAACTTTAACAGATACAGCTGGCTTTGGAGATCAGAGATGAGGAACTCCGTGGGATTTCAGATTCTGTTGTTTTTCATACGCTTCCAGCCTAGACTGGTCTAGAATTAACAATATTTTCAACATAAAAAAACACTTTCTGAAACACTAGCACACATAATGAAGGGTTTCTGTTCTAGTAGTTGGGCGGAGTGGGCCGCTATGTATGTTTTTGTGTTGATTTGTTTTTTTGTTTTTGATCACCTGCTACCAGCCAAGTTCAATAGTAGTGGACAGATTGACAGGCTGGTTAAGGAGCTGATGCAGTTTTGGGCATGGTCACTGGCCAAATAGAGTCCACAGCTGAAGAGGTGATGGTGCCTCCATGCAGGCTTTGCTGGTTGAACCCTATCTGGGGCTGCTGTGTCCTGCATGAACAGGGCACTGGCAAATTAGAGTATCTGGACTGTGGAGGGCCTGAAAATTCAAAAGGAAGTTTCGGGAACGCTGGATACAAATGACGCTGTTCCTTTCATTTGTATTCCCCTGTAAACCCTCAGATTAGAAATGTAATTGTATTCAGAGCTCCAGGATTAGCAGGTGATGACAACGTTCCTCAGTAGCCATTGGCAGAAACAGGCTTTATAGCTCCCACCTGGTGGGGCTAAAGTTGCTGGGGATTAACTAGGGATGACCGTGGTTTTGAAGCGTATCCTCCATGGAATGAGAGTACTAATGAAGGGCACCTTCTATTTAAAGAAAAACATTGCAGAGGCACCTGGGTGGCTCAGTCATTAAGCGCCTGCCTTCGGCTCAGGTCATGGTCCCAGGGTCCTGGGATCGAGCCCCGCACCAGGCTCCCTGCTCCGCGGGAAGCCTGCTTCTCCCTCTCCCACTCCCCCTGCCTGTGTTCCCTCTCTCGCTGTGTCTCTCTCTGTCAAATAAATAAATAAAATCTTAAAAAAAATTAAAAACATTGCAAT